TCAATGTTTCACACTTCAAGAAAATCTACACAAATTTCAAATTATGAACTACTTAAGCATATACAAGTTTGTCCTAAAAATAATATCTAGTTAAGTAATTAAGCATATACAAATTTGTCCTAAAAATTCAATTAACTACTGATTTCATTCATTTAGGTCAGTCATTTAACTTCACCTAATTAACCTAGTAAAACCCTACTTCCCTAACTAAAAACATCTAATTAACATCTACTAGTACCACTACTGCCCTAACCTAATTTACATGTACTTAGTTACCTAACCTAGTTAGTTAACCAAATTAACCTAAATTAACATCTACTTAGTTACCTAACCTAAGTAACACCTACTTAGTTACCTAACCTACTTCACTAACTAAAAAACATCTAATTAACAGTATCACTACTGCCCTAACCTAATTAACATTTACTTAGTTACCTAACCTAGTTAGTTAACCAGATTAACCTAAATTAACATCTACTTAGTTACCTAACCTAATTAACATCTACTTAGTTACCTAACCTAGTTCACTAACTAAAGAACATCTAATTAATAGCACCACTACTGCCCTAACCTAATTAACATCTACTTAGTTACCTAACCAAGTTAGTTAAACAAATTAGTTAACCAAACATCTAATTAACCTAGTTAGTAAACCAAATTAACCTAGCTAGTTCACTTAGTTACCTAACCTAGTTAGTTTACCTAAATTAACCTACCTAGTTCACTTAGTTAACCTAATGAACTAAATTCACCTAAGTTAATTAACCTAGAGGGAGGGATGTGGGGCTTACAGAGAAGATGGACGACGAGGCAGCAAGGGCGGCAAGGAGCAGACGACGGTGGCAGGGGCGACGAGGGAGCAGGGACAGCAAGGGAGTAGGGGCTCCGGTGACGGCGACGGCGGCTCTGGCAGCGATGGGGCAGGAGCGACGAGGGAGCAGGGGCGGCGAGGAGCGGACGAGGGTGGCTCCGCGGGCGTGCGGCTCCGGTGGCGGCGATGGCGTGCGGCTCCGGTGGCAGCGATGGTGGCGATGGAGGCAGGGCGACGAGGGATCACAGGGGCGGCAAGGGAGAGGTTGTGGATCTGGCAAGAAGATTGGGGAATTGGGGGAAGGGACGGACGCCCGTGAAGCGGTAAGTCAAACATAGTAGTAGCGGTTTTACGGAACACGCGCTATAGCTAATTAGCTATAGCGTTTTCCTATGAAACGCGCTACGGTATAGATAAATTAGCTATAGCGCGTGTTGGGGGAACGCGCTATAGCTAAAGTAGCTACAACGCTTTCATAGAAACGCGTTGCTGCTATTGCTTTCATTTTTTCTTTTTCTTTAATTTTCCTTTTCTTTTTTCCTTTCCTTTTTTTCCTTTCTTTTCCTTTTGTTAGTTGTAGCACTGTCGCCCTAAAACGTGTTGCTACTTTTTTGTTAGCAGTAGCGCGGTCCTTAGAAGCGTGCTGCTACTATACCAAGCCTGGCAGCAACCGTTCTGGTCGTCGTAGTAGCAGCGCATTTTGTGGTGAATGCGCTACTGCTATCTTTATGTTAGTAGCGCGCTACCAGGACACACGCTACTGTTATGTAGCAGTAGCGCTTCACTTTAACAAACGCTACTGATAAGTGTCTGTGTATAAGCTTTTTCCTAGTAGTGCAAGTTCCTTTTTGATAAAAAAAATTCTCTTCTTTTCATGACCAAATTTATCAGATCCCCATCCTTTAAAGAATTTCTTGAACCGTTTTAATTTGATGTTAAGAACATCAATTGGATCAGAAGATTTAACAGGTCTCTACCAAAATTTTCTAACTAGAGGTAAAAATTCGTCATTGGCCATCCAGCTCATCTCAAATCTAAACTCTCTGGTTTAGGTGCCTAGGTGCAAGCACTATTGGTGGACAGAAGCAGAGGATTGTGGTTAGGGATGTCTCTAACCAATTTTCTAACAGTGGCCAAAGGAAAAATATCCTCCCAATCATCAATCATAAGGACTCTATCCAATTTTTCTAGAGTGGGGTGGGCCTGATTATTAGACCAGGTAAATAAACCCCCTTCAATATAAATCTCACGCAGGCCCATGGTATTAATAATAACATTAAACCTGTCAACATACGAGATGCCATCATCTTTTTATTTTATTTTCTCCACAGTGCCTTAAGATATTAAAATCTCCACCAACTATATAAGGCATGGATAAATGGCTACAAAAGCTAGCAAGTTCGGAGAGGAATTCCTTTTTGTATTCATCATGAGCAGCACCGTAAACATTTAGCAAAGCCCACACACATTTTTACTCCACGTAAAAAACAATAACTTGTAAAATATATTTACCCATAGACCAAGAAACAGTCTTCAGTTTTTGTTTTTTAATTCCACACAACATGCCTCCAGCTTTACCAGTGGAGGGAATCCAATTCCACTCCAGGGTTTTATAGGGATCGATACTTCTAAGAAAACTAGAAGAGAACTTCTTCATAGTCTCCTGTAGACATAGGAAATCTAGGGAATGGTCTTTTATAAGATCATAGAGGCAGGTTTTCATTCCCTTTTTACCTGCTCCTCTGCAATTCCAGAAGATCCCCCCGGTCACTCTGCTAGGGGACTTAGCAGCATTACCAGAATTGGCAGTGGGCTTCACTGCCTTTTGACTTCTCGTTCTAGGTCTAGACAAAGGTGTTTGAATTTTCTTATTGCCACATCCGGTTATAGATACTCTCATGAAAATTGCGGAGTCTCGTGTATGATGGCCACCTTGTATGCCAAATTGGCAATACAAACAAATAAAAGAGGATATGATTCATTTGGACTCGGTCAGAAAAAAGAAACAAGACACATACATGGATGACTAATCGAATAACATGATGGTACACAGTAATAGGTCACTATGAACAAGTAAGATCGAGGTCGATCCTCTTCTACTTATGGAGCTAGTGCTTGAAAGATCAAGTAGGAGAGACAGTGAAGCCAATGAGTAAACTACAACTGCACATATGTTTTTCAACTCCTCCTGCCTTCATATCTTGTTGCGGAGCTTGGACGGCGCGACGAGAGGGTTCTGCTGCGCGATCTGCTCACGGCCGACCTTCTTGTAGTCGAAGCTGCACGCATGCCCGTCGACATAGCGGTGCAGCGAGCAGAAGGTGCCACCGCAACGGCAAGCGAACCCCAGCAGCCCCACCTTCTTCTTGCACGCCATGCACCTGGTTGGCGCCGACTTCTTCGCTGCCGCCTCCGCCCCCGGTCCCTCGGTAGAGTCCTGCAGGCTCACCGACTTCTTGAAGGCGAGGATGAGGTCGTCGAACGTGAGCTTCCCCTCGACGGCGGCGGGGGCAGCCACATCTCCGGCCTTGAGGTGGTCGCGGTAGCACTTTGAGCACATGTTCTTGCTCGCCTCGCTCCCGTAGAACCCGCAGCCGTTCGCGCAGAGCGGCGCGGCACCACCGGCGGCTGCCTGCGTCGACGGCTCCTGCCCGTGCGCCATGTATGGCCGCTGGTCTGATCGAATCTAAAAGAAACCGACCGTAGGATCGATCGTCTCGCGCTAGCGTATTAGGGGAGTCTGTGAATCTGGCGTTGGTTGGCTGCCGTGCGTGGGTGCTTTGTTGACGAGGCCCCGGGGGCAGCCCTTCTGTGGCTTATAAAGGTCGGCCAACGGCCACGCGTGACCAGAAGAACTCCGAGACGTGCTCTAGAACCTCCCAGGTGATATTTGAAGCCACGCAGTGAGCTTTTCGGCTTCCTTAACCGTATCTGATCCGTATCCGAATGGAAATAGTTGCCAGACCTCCTCCGATGATACCCAAGAGTAGGGTCCAATGTAAGGTGCTTTACGTTACATGATCAAGGATACGTTTTTTTTAGCAAAGCTTGCTAGGCTTTTATTAATCAGCTAGAATGTTTGCCGGAATTACAATTTGGTCATGAGGTGTACCCGACCAAATGTGTCTCCCCACCGGAAGAGAAATACCGAACCTAGCTAGCCTATGAGCTTCTAAATTTGACATTCGAGACTCAAAACAAAATTTACATGAAGTAAAAGTAGACGATGTCTAAGATTTCCATAACAATATCTCCGTATTCTCCACCCGCTCGCTGATGAATATGTTGTACCACTTGCTTGCAGTCTGATGCAACTTGAATGTACGTATCGCATCCCAAGATCTTGTGCTAGAGATAGCCCTTCCCGGCATGCAATCGCCTTGAGGGTTGGAGCATCAATAGGACCCTGTGTCACCAACATTGACGAGCCCAGGAAGGCCCCATCACGGTCCCTGCATACTGCTGTTGCCGTGCCCATGTTATGAACTGTTGAGACACCTGCATTAACATTAATTTTAACAAAGCCTTCGGCAAGGGAACCACCTGATTGTCGAGTTAGCTTGCACTTTTGCTGACTGTTAGACTAATATGTCACGTATCGTGACATATCTCCTAATCACCTAAATCGAGGAGTATCGATATTGTTGTGATCTCTCATTTATGGTTAGGATTGTAAATCTGTCTATATATTGACATGTAATGGAAAAGCCCAAGTGTGACAAATATTCTCCAAATCTTTCATGGTATCAGCCTAAGAATCCTCTCGCTTCCGCTCTTCCAACCCTAGCGCCGCCGGCTCCTGCTCCCGCGCCGCCGGCCACCTCCTCCCTCCCATGGCGCCCTTCGAGCCTGCTCAGCCGGCTGCTCCTCACCCCAACGCCGCCCTTTGGGCGCAGGCCACCGCCATCCCCAACGTCCGCTCTCTCGTCCCCATCGTCCTCGAGTTCAAGAGCGCCGTCTTCCCCAAGTGGAGGACCTTCTTCAACATCGCTGTCACCACCTACGCCCTCGAGGATCACCTCACCTCTGAGACGCCCTCCACCGACCCAACGTGGCGCCTCGACGCCCTCGTGCTCCGCTGGCTCTATGGCTCCATGGCCATGGACATCGTCGACCTCGTCATGCCTACCGACCCCGCCACCGCCACGGCGTCTGGACCGCCGTCATCGCGCTCTTCAACGACAACCAAAAGAGCCGCGAGATTTATCTCGCCGAGGAGTTCCACAACATTAAGCAGGAGGATCGGTCCATCACCGAGTACCTTCACCTGCAGAAGACGGCGGCTGACGCCCTCGCCGAGGTCGGTGCGCCCGTCTCCGATCCCGAGCTCGTCACCAACGTCATCAAGGGCCTCCACGAGCGCTTCGACAGCGTCGCCGACATCGCCCCCCTCCTCACGCCGTTCCCTACCTTCCTCAACTTTCGCAACATGCTGCTGCTCCACGAGATGAAGGCCTCTCGGCGCTCCAACAACACCTCGGCCTCTGCCTTTTACGCCGCCAAAGGACCCGTCCCCGCTCCTTCCAGCGGCGGCGGCTCGTCCTTCGGAGGTGGCGGTGGTGCTCCTTCCGGTTTGGCCGGCGGCCAGCTATGGCGGGCTCCTGCCCCCGCCCACAATCCTCATGCCACCGGCTATGGCAAGGGGAAGGGCAAGAACAAGGGATACAAGTCCGCCGGTGGCGCTCCTCCCATGCCAACTCCGTTCAATCCTTGGACAGGAGCCATCCAGATGTGGCCCATGCAGTCCTACCCCACCAACTCTGGCGGAAACACCGGCGGCATCCTCAGACGAGCTCCGGGCCCCCGCGCTCACGCCTACATGGCCGCTCCACCGGCTGCTCCCGGCACCCACTACGGCGGTTACGGCTCCGTCCCATACGGCGCCGCGCTGCCCTACGCTGCACCACCAACACCGGCACCATCATGGGACACCGCTGCTCTCGCCCAATACTTCACCAACATGACATTGCAGCAGCCCGCTCCCGAGTGGGTCATGGACAGCGGCGCGACCGCCCACCTTTCCTCCGATGCCGGTATCTTATCCTCCCTTTCTCATCATCCTATATATCGTCACGTGGTGGTCGGCGACGGTTCCACCGTTCCCGTCACCACATCCGGTCATTCTTCCCTTCCTTCTCTTTTTCCCAACACACCTCTTCACTTACGCCATGTCTTAGTAACACCTAGCATTTCAAAAATCTTATTTCCGTTCGTCAATTCACTACTGATAATCATTGCATTGTCGCTTTTGACCCCTTTGGTTTCTCTGTGAAGGACCTTCATTCCCGGTGCGAGATCCTTCGGTGCAATAGTACGGGGGAGCTCTACACATTCACATGCCCTCCGCCTCCTCGCGCCCTCGCCACGCTCACCGCCCCTCACGACGTGTGGCACCGTCGTCTCGGACATCCCGGCCATGATGCTTACCGTCGCCTCTCCGAGCATATTTCCCTCCCTTGTATTAGACAAATAAATCCCTCCACTTTATGTAATGCTTATCAACTAGGACGTCATGTACGTTTGCCTTTTTCTGCTTCTACTAGTCGTACCACTCGTCCATTCGAGTTAGTGCATTGTGATCTTTGGACTTCACCAATCTTGAGTGTTTCTGGCAATAAATATTTTTTAGTCATTCTTGATGATTTCACACATTTTCTATGGACCGTTCCGCTTCGCCAAAAATCTGACGCTTACGCTTCGCTCTCCGCTTTTCGTGCGTTCGCTCATACTCAGTTTGGCTTACCTCTCGTGTCCATACAATGTGACAATGGCCGTGAGTTTGACAACAACAAACTCCACTCTCTTGCTGCCACGCACGATATTCATATTCGTTTTTCTTGCCCATACACATCCCAACAAAACGGTAAAGCTGAACGCATTATTCGCACTGTCAATGACATTGTCGGTTCTCTCTTATTTCAGGCTAGCTTACCTCCTCGTTTTTGGGCCGAAGCACTTCATGCCACCACTCACGTTCTTAACCGTCTTCCCACCAAAACCATTGCAGCTCCCTCTCCATACTTTGCCCTTCACGGCAACCATCCCGATTACTCATCACTACGCGTTTTCAGCTGCCTATGCTATCCCAATACCGCTCCACCATGCCACATAAACTGTCGCCGTGTTCGAGTGCTTGCGTTTTTTGGGCTATTCCTCTCATCATAAGGGATATTGGTGCATGGACCTCACTACCCACCGCATCATCATCTCTCGTCACGTTGTCTTCGATGAGATGACCTTTCCATTTGCCTCCCTACAGCCCACCACCGCAGCCACATACGACTTCCTCGCCGACGATGACACACTACCCATAGTTGTCCCGCCTCTTACAATCGTCACTCCTACTCCTACCCCGCCACCCTCCCCACCACCCACCCCTCCATCACCACCCGCACCACCCTCACCACCCGCCCTTCCTCACCGGATGCTCCTCCCGAACCAGGCGCCCCACCCACTCATCGCACGCGTAGCACCTCCGGCATCCACAAGGGCCCTCGCGAGCGTCTTAACCTGCATGTTTCCTCTGTCAGCAGGTACTCGCCGGTTCCCACCTCCGTCCGTGCAGCTCTCAAGGATCCCAACTGGCTCGATGCTATGACTGCGGAGTACCGCGCTCTCCTCAGCAACAACACTTGGGATCTTGTGCCCCCTCCTCGGGATGCTAACATCGTCTCCGGCAAGTGGGTTTTTCGCCACAAGCTCCAGCCTGATGGCTCCCTCGATCGCTACAAAGCTCGCTGGGTGCTTCGGGGTTTCTCTCAGGAGCCCGGTGTCGACTTCGACGAGACTTTCAGCCCAGTTGTTAAACCGGCCACCGTGCGTGTCATCCTCTCCACCGCGCTCTCTCTTAACTGGGAGACTCGTCGGCTCGACGTCAAGAACGCCTTTCTACATGTCACTCTTGCTGAGGTTGTCTACTGTCGACAACCCACCGGCTTCATCGACTCCAGTCGCCCCGAGCATGTCTGTCGGCTGAACCGTTCTCTATATGGTCTCAAGCAGGCTCCCCGTGCGTGGTACCAGCGCTTCGCGACTTTCATCACTTTGACCGGCTTCATGTGCTCCCGCTCGGATACCTCGTTGTTCGTTCTCCGGTGTGCGGAAGGCACGGCCTTCCTCCTGCTCTACATGGACGACATCGTCCTCACCGCCTCATCGACCCACTTGTTGGACAGGATCACGGCCTCTCTCCGAGCAGAGTTTGCCATGACGGACATGGGCAGCCTCCACTACTTCCTCGGCATCGCGGTCACCCGCGACTCCTCCGGCATGCATCTCTCGCAAGCTAAGTACGCCGCGGAGATTCTGGACAGGGCCGGCATGACTGCCTGCAAGTCAGCCTCGACACCGGTTGACACCTCGTCGAAGCTCGCCGCTACTGCCGGCTCTTCCGTGGCCAATCCCACGGAGTACCGGAGTCTTGCTGGAGCTCTCCAGTACCTCACCTTTACGCGCCCCGACATCGCGTACGTCGTTTAGCAGGTTTGTCTTCATATGCACGACCCGCGTGAACAGCACCTCACGGCCATCAAGTGCATCTTGCGCTACGTCAAGGGCACGCTCTCTCATGGCCTTCAGCTCTACTCGGCTTCACCGGACTCCATGATTGCCTACACCGATGCCGACTGGGCCGGCTGCCCTGACACTCGGCGCTCGACGTCA